GTCCTTTCTTCATGCCATTGAGATACAAAATTTTTCCCTCAATGTCTATCATTTGCCTTGCCTGTCTCCCAACAATCTCTCTGTCTGCTATATCTATTTTGCAGCTGAATTCCCAAACTGAACAAAGAACTCAAGATGTAGCAAAGAACCAACCTGTGGAAATTACAATGTTTCCAGTTTGATTTTTTTCTTTCACACTAGCATTTCGTTCAACACCGATGTTCACTGAGCTTTTCACAATAATGCCACGATTTTTTCCTGAGGAGTCGCACTCAACTAAGGACCCAGTAGTTTGTGTGAGTAACCCAAAATATGCCATCCAATGTAATGCTTTCCCAGCATTAATCGCTCCGGCCACTGTGATGTTTATTCAGCTTCTTAGGGTAGGCTTCTTTTCACTATCTCAGGATAGGCTTCTTTTCACTATCTCTGAGGCTCTTTGGCAGTAAGCAAAATTAAGTAATGGTATTCGTTCTGTAGGTTGCCACATCATTTCACCTCTTTCCAGATCAATAATATTTTTAACATGCCCTTTTAACTCATGTCTTTCCTTGAGATGCAATGTTGTCACGGGAAGCCTCTAAGTGTATATATGCACTTGGGATGCATCTACGCTGCCCCACACAGTGAATACAAGCACAGTCAAGCATGTCAATAAGGGTACAGCACTGCACTTCAACTTGTATATTGCCTGTTTCTCAGTAGACTAACTCACTGTTTTGTTTTCAGTGGCTGTGGTATCTCAGCAAGGCACTACACGGTGAAGGGCGGGCATGAGCCAGGTCATGTTGAAAGGCAACCACATAGTAGTAGTATTTGCTTTCTGACAGTTTTGAACGCCCAGTAATACTTTGTCTCCCACCACAAGTTTTTATAGGACCCCTTATAAACCTCTGACAATTATTTTGTTGAGTGATCAGCTGCAAGTCTGGACATATGTATACGTACTTAAGTTTCCTTATGCCAACATCTTCCAAATGGGGTAAAAAAGTAGACCTAGAAATAGGAAGATTGTGAATCTGAGCATGCCCCAGATACCGTGGATCTGGTATCTACATTTCTCCTACTCAAGCTCTCCTTCCCTACTTTTTGTGTCCCTCACCCCTAAGGTCTCTCACCACTCAGGCTGCTGTGGTGGCTCTGCCCAGCCAGAGCTGCCTGTAAGAAGCAGCTGGCAAAGCTGGGGAGAACCTGTGTCCTTCTGTCATTCCAGTCCTTTTGTACTGCTGTAGCTTTGTCTCCTCAGGATATCCAGAAATCTCAAGCAGTGGTTTAAAATACACATTTCTGCCCAAGGTAAAGAAAAAAAAATGCTCTGGGGAAAGGATATTTTCCTTTTACAAAGACAGAACCTAGGAGTTCATCCCCTATTTTAGCATACTCATGTTTTATTGCTTCCTTCAATTATCATTTCAGTTCATTTTCCAGGTTCCAAAGTCTCTAATTTCCAAAAGGACTGCTAGCCTACAGACACAGAAAAATGGTTTTGCACTGTCTATTGTCAAAGTTATTACTAAAATTATTACATTATTTAAAATTTATATTACACATATCTAAAAGGCTGCAATTAAATTAGGTCCCACTGCACTCACCACTACCCAAATGTGTAACTAATGGCATTTCAGGCCCTCAGGAAAAACATTTAATTCTAAGAAAAACTCCTCTGGGCAGAAATTGCCTATATTTTTGTTCTGTGGGAAAACAGTGCCTGGTGTTGGTACAGCCTAGAAGCTGCACCACAATTATAATAATAATAGTAGTAATGATAATTAATATTAGTATTAAATATTGTTCCTTCAATTTTATCACAGTTTACCCCTCTCTTTTGTTTTAATGTTATGTGATAAGAATGTGTTTCATTCCTTCAGCTGAAGCATTCTTTATTCAAGGTTTTAGTGATAGTTAAGGATACTTTGCTCTGCTTCCAAGGAACAAATAGGCCAAAAGTGTTTGGTGGGATGAATGCTGTTTGGTGTGAGAACAAACGGCAAAAAAGAAGGGACACCATCAAAGGCTATTCTGCTCCATATGAATGTTCAATGTTCCACAATGAATTCCTTCAGTACACCAAGTTACTGGAAAAAATCCTCTACTCTAGGAAAGACGCACATGTCACTGCTGAGTCAGAAGCTGCCTATGGTCATATCACACATAGTACACATTTTTTTAGATGTTCTTTTTTGGGGGTTTTGTCACCCTCCCCCAAAGAAGTAGACGCTTCTTTAAAATTATTGCCAGAAGGCATTCCAGTTGTGTATTTCAAACATATTGTCCTTAAGCCAAATTGGGAGAAATAGGGACAAAATGTCAAACCAGAAAGGCAGGATAACTCACTGTTAAAATTTTACAAAATTTACAAAATGCTGATTTAATACTGATTAATGACTGCAATGCAAGAGTTTAATATTCTTGTGTTTCATTCCCCTCATTATACATATAGAACTATTGTGACTGCAAACAGCCCTACTTTGTAAATAGTATTGCAAAAGTTAGGCTCCAAACGGCATTAAGCTAGCTAAAATTAAATACACTTCAAGTAGAGTTAAAAAAAAAAAAAAGAAAAAGAACAAAAACCACACAGTAAAATATTTTACAAGCACTAGAACAGTGAACTGGCTAAGGTTCTGTCCTAAAGATACAGGTGATATCCATCTACAAAAATGGCTCATCTCTGTTAGTAAAATACCACTGTAACCCTAACAAGGAAAAGTAATCTAGAGGGCATGGATATCTGCACAGTACTAAGATACATTCTGTTGAGTTTTCCTGCAAGTATTTTAAGATATCATCCAATCATCTCAATTGCCCCTTCTGGAAATGTTATTCTTCACCTTCAGCCTAGAGAGGGATATGTTTATAAGTCTGTGTGTAAAACTGCATTGAAGATTAAAAGCCCCAGGAACACACGAAATGATATCAGTACTCAGGTGCCTTGTATCAGTGAAGACCAGATAGTAAGTATGTCTTCCCTATAATTTTTCTATCTCTTCCTGTACCTCCACCTGGGAGAAAGTGTTATGAATTTATTTTGTAAGAAAAATGAATAGGCGGAATAGCAACAGCATTGCATTTCTTGCTGTCAAAACAATGACCATTTCTTTGAGCAACGTTTATGTTGCTCAACTCTCTTCTCTAAATGCACCTTAAGTTAAAAAGCATTCTTATTCTTCTAAAAGATTTTGTAATATGAATTGCTTTCCAGTGTCTTAGGGGTTTTTTAAACTATAGTTGTTTGAATTGTTATGAATATTGATACTCCATTTGATTAAAAGGATGTGAGCATTCTTTTATATCAGGAAAAATGAGCAGAATTTCTCCTATGCTATGAGATCCAGCATGTGGCAGATCTTTCACTTTTCTAATGTTACTCTTTCCACTTCAGAGCAAGCAAATTCACTATAAGGTAAAACAAACAAAAAAAAATAAGCTCTGCTATGCTCTGACTGGATTTACCTTTTTTTTTAATTCTACAATTAATATTTAGCATGCAATTAGATAGACAGATAGATATGTGGTGACCCCCTGTCTTTTGTACCCAACCTTCTGTCTCCCTCATTTGTGCCATCATTGTCATTTGGCTGTGTTAAGGTCTGCCAGCAGCTCTGCTGTAAGCCACGTTGTTTTGTGAAGAGCTCTAGTGGGGGTCTTTCTTGTCTTTGGCAAACTCTTCCTAAAGAGTATTTTCTGCAGCGTGCCAGCAGCTCTTGGCGCAGATTCATCAACTCACAGTGACTTGCAGTGCTGATACTTAATAGTCATCCCCTGTAGCTTAGCAGTAGCTGAGATGGATAATGCAGCCTCTGAGTTGTTCCTTGCATGTTGGGCTTCTTCTGTCTGGTAAACTTAAAAAGTCCAGTTTAATCAATACAAACCAGGGAAAGAGAAAAGGGGAGATCCATCTTGCACTTTGAAGGATGTTTTATCAACTTTACTACTACTGAGAGAGAGAATAAGAATGTTTCAGGCAGAGAAATTAGAAGAGAATAGATTCAACAAATTGATACGACTGGACCTCCAGTGGAGGAGGAAAAGAGGAAGAAAGGAGGGACTGCCTCAGCTTTTGTCAGTCGTGCCAAGCAGGGAGAAGGATGTGAAGATGGGCATCCATGACACGCTGTAGGCTGTTGCTGTAGGAAAACATGCTACTCCCTAGACTCAAAATAACAGAAGGAAGACCCTAAATCTAAAAATTGGCAGAACACAATGATAACTCACACCCACCTGGCCACTTTACCCTGATCAATTCTCAGCCTTTCCCTCCTCTTCCTTCCCATAGCCCGTGTTTCCCTTCCTGTTTGCTGCCTGCACAGCGCCCAGGGCAGTGGGCCCTACACCTCCTCAACCCTTAGGGTCTGCTGCATCATACTAAATACTCTACAGAATTCCAGAACCCTACTGAATCCTTGGATCTTCAGCGACCACGAGCTGCCGTCCAAAGGGGTTCCAGCAGCAAGTTCCCGCACAAAAGCAGTTCCTCACCTGAGGATGTGGAGCTAAACCACTTCCACAAAATGAAAAGCTGTTGTTAAAAAAGTTTGGTCCCGGCTTTGTCGGGGTTTTGTGGTGATGCTCTGAGATCAAACGGGCTGCAAAGGCAGGGAGGGGCAGGAGCGGGAGTGCAGGTCAACTCCGGGCATTTCACGGTATGGGTGCTCCCTGGGTCCTCGCTGCCCTGAGGTCCGCTCTCGGAGTGTGAGTGTACCTCTGTGTGCGTTTTGCGGGCAAGTCTCCCTGAGGAGGTGGCAAGGATGGGGCGGGGGTGCTCTGAGCCAAGGGGCCATATCCTAGCCTAGGGATGCGGGTCAAGGTGAGGGCGGCGAGCCGCCTTCCCACCCTCGGGCCGGGCTGGGCGGTGCCGGGGGCTGGCTGCAGGCAGAGGCGAAGGAGGAGGAAAAGGCCAAGATATTCCTGAATGAACGGCTCTCTCCTCACCCCACACCTCCGCCCGGCTCCCGCCTCCCTCCCGCCACTCGCCGGTGTCTGTTCGAGGCGCAGCCAGTTTCTATAGCGACGGCGCTGAGCCGAGGCTCTTCCGAGTAGTAACAAAGCCCGGCGCCCGCTGCCGCGCCGGGGCTGCGGGGGGACGCGGATCCCTCTCCCGAGGACACCGCGACAGGTACGGGGCGAGAGGATGCCCGGCGGCGAGGCTCGGGGACCCTGCGCCGGCGGGAGAGGGGGTCCTCTCCCGCGGGCCGGGCGGCGGCTGCGGGGGAGAGGGGGAGGCGTCCGTCCGTCCGTCCGTCCGTCCTTCCTCTGCTCGCGTCTGTGGCAACGATGGACAGCGGGGAGGGGTTGCGGGAGGGGAGCCGCAGGTACGCCCCGGGCGGCCCCTTCGAGTTGGCCGCGGCGGTGGTGCGGCTCCCCCGGGTACCCCCCGCTGGCCGGGGCGGCGGCGGCGGGAGGGGACGGCACGGGCGGGCTCCGCGCCCCGGGCGGCAACCAGTGGGCTCGGCTCGCCCTCTGCACCGGGGACAGCGCTTCTCCTCGTCCCTTAAGGTTATCCCTTGATGATGATGATAATAATAATAATAATAGTTTTGGTGGTGGTGGTATATATATAAAAAAAATGACCACCTGGAAATGTTGGGGTTGCAAAGTTTCATTTCTTCAGCTTTATGAAGTAATGATAAATAGGATAATAGTTTTAAAATGCGCCACTTGGAAAAAAAAATATAAAGGATTGGTATTATACATAAACAAGAAAAATCACTGCTTGTTTCTAGGAGTAAGTGTTCCGAAGGGTTTTAGGTAAAATGAGTGTAGCTTTCAGAGTCAGAGTCTAAGATGGTAGAGGTGATAAACATTTGCTTATCTCGTGCAGCCAAGGTTAGGCAAGAATTAGCAGCCCTCACCTACTAATATCAGAGAGTGGATGGGAAGGTCATTAGCAGGTCACCTGCCTGAGCAATGCTTGTGGTGGCTGCAATCAATAACATCCGAATAGTAGTTGGCTGTAAGAATAGCCACGCATTTCATCAGAAGTTTAAAATTCAGAGGAACTTCCCAGTGATAACAGAACGGCTGACCCTGCATGATGAGGTCCTGAGGAGCAATCATTATGGTTCGTTGCTGAGTGATTTAGGAAATAAACTAGATAGCGAGGCAAGGCAAAATTGTGCTGTGACTTGTATGCAGTCAGCAGCATATTCTAGATGGGAATCTTCTTGAATGTGAACAAGGGGGAAAAGGGAAATAGTATGTGAGATGAGGAGAGTGGCTATCATAGTTATTGAGTGGTGGACAAGAACTGACATTTTAGGTAATATGTAATCTAAATATCAGATTATTAGAGATCTTAAACTCTATGTATAAGGTAGTATCAGGGCATCAGAACTCAAAGGCTATGCGTTGACTGGAAGAAGTTTGAGAAGCATATAAGTGAAATGTTAAGTAGAGCTACCAATACCATTTAAGTAAATGATGTGAAAATAGTGGAAGGAGAAGATACAGCAATCTTCAGCAATCATGAATACAAGTAGCATAGAAAATGGAGACAGGCTTCTCTTGCAGAGGATGTATAAATGAAATCAAGTTTTAAATGAGGCTTAATAAAGTTGAAACATTTCTCAATATAAAATTTAAACTAGTAATGTAGTGGTAGATGCAGTGGAATTCAGATGTAGTTTTTTAAAAACAGCAACAACAAAAAAAAAAAAAGGGTGGAATTTCTCAGGTATGTTCATTGCAGTGGTTTGCCCAGTGTTTATAAGTGCTTATCCTTTGCTGTTTTCCAAAGTGTCACAACAGTTGTTCTGTTGAAAAAGTCATAACCTTCTGAATGACCTCTGTTTTTCCATGCAACACTGGAAAGAAAACTCTTGAGTTTGTTAGATGTGTAAAAATGGAGACCTCAGATGAGTTTAGCATGATGGAAAATAGCATTTCAAGACCATACTCTGGGCTATCTGAAATTGAATGCACCTAGCAGGAAATAAAAGGTCAGCTGTGTATAATAAAGACCCGGACACTTCTACTCCCTTAGCTGCATGCAGAGAATGAGAAATATCAAAACTCAGTACGATCTTGCCTTAAAGGCAAAAGGGATAAGTAAAATATATATAGTTACGCTAACAAGTGGCATTTCAGTCCTGAAATTGTTCTTTGTGGAACAATTGCAAACTCCACTAGATGAAGTTTATCAGAGGTAAAAACAATGTAGCAGCTGAGACAGTATCAGGAAAGAACACAATAATTCAGTACAGATAATACATCCTATAATAGAGCCTGACATGCATAAGGGTTTCTGATGGTCTAAACTGTTCTAACAATTAGATCTTAGTCTCTCAGGCTAAGATCTCTCAGTTATGTCACACCTTTCTGATGTTCTTCAGTCCACACTGGGTTTATAAGAAGCCTGTTCTGAAATTCTCATGAAAGCATTTTCTAAAGCTGTGGACTCTGTGCACTGATATAAGGCCACTGCAGGGGTCTGTTTGCCAGTCCCCTCTTGCTGTCCTCAGTCTGAGTTTAACATGTTTGTCTATATCCTGGGTGTGATGACTCGCTGTTAAATGTTTTTTTTTCTGGAGATGTACGTGTGCTTGCTGTAGCCAGCAACTATTTCAAATATACAGGGACCGCTGCCTAGAGGTTGTGATTTCAGTCCTTCCAGACAGGTTGCTAAGGAGAATTAGGGATCCTTGGAGAGCAAAGCTCAGGAAATTCTCCTGTGGCCTTTGCATACATTGTGTGCTGAAGCATTACCTATCTAATATAAACTGTTGTTCTGACAGTAATATAGTATGGACTTTGTGTGTCACAGTGTATAACACACGACAATTGTGACTTTCTAGTATAAAGAAAACATTTGCAAATGTGAGAGTGCTGTGGTAAGATGCAAAGAACTCGAGCCTCTTCAAAATGTACCTTAGGTTTCAAATTCATTTGCAAAGACAGATGAAGTGCAATATGTGCAGCTTTTAACCTACTACAGCTCTAAAATTTTTAAAATCCAATCCTCTGTGTTTCATTCAGCTTGTTTTTCCTGCAGAGACGATGTAGCAGGATTTTAGGCATAATCAATGCCATAATTCAGCATACCTTTCCTTTTCCTATTTTATCTTTTCCACTGTAGATGGGTGAACATAAACATTCAGTAAAAGTTCAAATAACACAGCAGCAGTTAAAGTTTAGTCCAGGTAGTGTGAAAACCTGAGATGTTATATCTCTGAAGTGTTAAGCAGACTTCAAATTCATTTAGGTTCTGTCTGATACTTCTTGCCATTTCCAGGAAATTTAACCAAAGTGTTACAAAGCTGTAGTTCCCTGAAAGACTCAGGTTCACAGGTGTTTTGTAGATATGTATCACATTTTGAAAGTGGCATCTATAAAGATTACTACAACTGGTGTTGCCATATTCAGAAACTGGGGAAAGAAATGGAATAGACTGTTTTATCTCTCGGCTTTCCTATCTTAATTAGGAATTGCCCAAGTTATTTGCAGAAATGGCAGCCTGCTAGAAAGAAAGGGGTGTGACAATCTGGATTTGAGAAAACCTGAAGGTATATAGAGCTGCAGTGAGGAACAAGATGGGGTTTGAAGTGTGGTCCATGATGGAGATGTAGCCCTGGAGTCAAGGGCCATGGTGGGAGAGTTACCTGGGACTGGTAGGAGGAGTCAAGTTGAGAAGGGAAAGGGACAGGCTAGCAGAGACCCAGACAGGAAAGTCTGTAGATATTAGACTGTGTGCATCAGTTCCTCATAGTGGATGGCCCAGTGAGGTGCTGAAGGCTTCTTTTAGACCCCCTTTTGTAAGCCTTCAAGGCTTCATTGGCAATATTTGTGGCAAAGTGTGTTGGTCTAGAAACCCAAACCTTTTCATAATAGTTTCAGGGCAGGTGGTGTTCCAGGCAGGGGAACTCATCTTGGCAGGCAATTCATGACAAAGAAAGGAAACTCACATTTCGGATGGATGTACTCAGGCAAGAGATGTTCTCTTGTGAACGGAAAGAAAATATTCCCCCCTTGGTGACTCACAAGCAGTGATGAGAGTCTGCTTGAAAAAGCATCTGACCTTGAAGCTTCTGCTGTGGCACAGCTTTATGTGAAAGTATGGCTTGAGCACTGAGGAGGTACCCTGCAGAAGCCATTTGTCTCCCAATATGTGATGGGGGACCTGGAGTATTTCCATAGTAGTATTCTCTGTTGAAAACAAACCTACTCAAAACTCAAGCTGATACTGGCTTTTCACTCTTCAAACAATTCCTCCAAGTAACTCTTGAAAAAAAGCTTGTTAAGGCTTACCAGTGCATCTACGGCTATTGCAAACATGTAGTTTATTTAGCTAGAGTTTTGTAAACACCTTAAGCAGAAATTTTGGGTAGTATTTGAATCACCATGTGGGCTGTTGTATAACGTGTGTGTAATGAGGGCTTTTATCTTCCTGGATCTTTTGTAGTTCATTGAGTTATACTTGTGAGCTGTTAAAGTGACAACTAAATGAAAGTAAAAAAAAGTGAACAATGAAGTGTTTGGTGCTAGGTTCACATAGTACAATGAATGAATTGCAGGACCACAAATTAAACAATGAGAGTAAAACAAAGCATTCACTAAATAACCGACTATACTGCACACTCAATGACGCTTCCTGTGGCAGAAAATGATGTGCTGTTGTATGACTAAAACTGTATTGTAATACATATTTTCATTGGAATGCTGATGTTTTGTAATGCTCTTGGATTTGTTTTCAGCGTATTACAGACATTTTACTGTGTCCACTAAATCAAAGAGCGCTTTTGTACCTGGTGCTTTATTCCTGTAATCAAGTTGCCTCTCATTCTCTGGCAAACTAAACAGATTGAGCTCTTTAAAGCCTTCACATGAAGGAGTTTTATTCAGCTCCTGAATATTTTTTTTGTGACTGATCTCACTGTTCTGTGAGAAACTGTCCAGTCGTTCAATGTCCTTTATAGAATGTGAACATCAGAACTGTACAAAATATCTTAGTTTGACTTTCACTGCAGCATAAAAGGTAATGGTATCTAGAGGTAGAACCCAGCTATGTTTCCCTCCTCAACTATCCCATGTTGCTACATCCATGTTGCCGTGATTTGTCCTCTGTGACTTTTACATGTCCCTTCTACATTTCAAGGGGGTTGGACTAGATGACTTTTAAAGGTACCTTTCAACCCAAACTATTCTATTCTATGATTTTGTATTTTTTCAGTTTATTTGTTTTCCATTAAATTGTTCTCCATTCTCAGGGACTGGTTTGATAATTTGAATCTCTGTATCTGGTTGTATTCAGGTGCATTTTGTTTGAATGAGCCCAGTTTGCTAAATAATCCTGTCTTCTTAGATATTTAATTTTCTGCCAAATTTTTGTGTAATCTATATAATTTATCAGAAGTTATTTTATATTTCCTTCAAGTCCAAAGGTGAAAAAATTTATTAGCCTACTTCTCAGCCTCTCATTTAAAACATACCTATTGGATAATCCCTTTTAGCAGGTATTAGTGGAGAAAAGGCTGTGAATTTTTGATCTACATGCTTCATTCACAGTGTGAGTTAGGTATCCAGCTTATGTGAATGGTCATAGCTTTGTCTATAGCGATCTGATATGGTAACAGTGCAGCTAGAAAGTGCTTAAATATTAAAGAGAAATGCTTTTTGAATTTTCTTAATTCCTCATTTTATTTGTATCACTTGAGAAAAGTTGATAACTGGAAGTGTTCTCTGCATTTTTTAAGATTCAAATGTATTTCTCCTTTCTTCTCTGACATCTCCATGGCAGACCAGAAGTTGTCTTTTCCTTCCAATACGTCTCTGAGATTAAGTCCTTGATGTTTGTGCTATTAAGCTCAAAGCTGACACTTTGAATAACACTTGTTTATGGAAATGAAATATGATCTTACTAGTCAGATCTATGTGAAAAGACCAAAAAGGAGAGCACCTTCTGTCTGTATAGCTTATGTTATTCTTCATTGGCCATTAGGGGGTATTTTACACTCCGAATGATAGGCATGAGTACCTGCTCATTTAAAGATCAGCTAACAATGAAAAATTTCATTTCTAACCCACTCTATCTTTTAAAAATTAGGTGCGAGTATCTATCCAGTAAGATAAAACTGCCCTGTTTATAATGTAAGTTTTTCTTAGCCTGAAATATTAAACTTAATTGTCAAATACCATGTCTCCCACAGGACAAAGAGAGAACAGAGAGCATACCATCGATGATTCATCTGTTTTTGTTATCAGTCATTCAGACCTTTTGGTGATGGATGGATGAATAAATTGAGCCTAAAACTATAAGCCAGCTTGGCAGCTGGCAGGTAAGTCCCTGGAAGCTCACCAAAATACTTTCTCAAGCATCACACTTCTGTTTTATATGTTGTATTTTGCCATATTCTAGAATATAAAATATCGTCTTAAGACAATAGGATCACACTTAAACATACATCTACTTTCAGTGAAACTTAAGCATGTAGAGACTTGTACATGTGCTCAGGTAGGGATCCGAAGAAGGATGCTTTCTTGGATGGGAAAATAGAGAAACAGTTCTTGCAAGAGTTGGAAAGAGCAAGTCAGAGCTGAAAATTTATGGTGTGCAGGTGATGTAAAAATGATGTAATAATATTGCATATTGATGAATCCCACAAAAATCCCAAAGGAACCAAGTTTCCGGTAAATTTTGTGTCATCTGTTTCTGAAGAATAAATTAAACTTTCTTACATGACTGCCATGCCATCTAACAGGCAAGTTAAAGCATTTCATAAGCCTGAAATAGAGAAACATTAAGTGCAGTTGTGCCTCCCTACCTTTCCCTGGTATATCTCCCAAGATAGTTTGTCCTACAGTAGTGTGCTGTGGTAATGGATCTGGCAGCATTTGCATTAAGAAAATTGTTTTTATGAATATATTGTAACTTGGCCAAAACATCTGCTTCTTGCTGAAGTGTGGGTTTTAGGGTTTGAGGATAGTTTTCAGTGTGTTCACTGGTGTAAATGTAAGGGTTTGGTAGCGAATATTGACCTAAATTTATTAAAATATGAATTCTCATTGACTTTGGGACTGGGGGGAGGGAAGCATATCACAATTACACATAGCAAGAAACTTTCTGGCATGGTTCTTGTATAAATGCAGTTTTGATATTCAGATATGGCTATGAACAAATTGAACAGCCTTCTGAACTTCATGCTGTGTTGAAAATTAAGTCATCTGCCTATTTTTCTGTTTCAGTAAAGTAGAATTATTCATGAAATGTCAGTTCTGTCAGTTTTTTAATTAACTTTCAGTTTTAATAATATTAATATCATGCTTCCCTCACTCATTTATATAGATAGCTCATATAGTGCATATGTGTGTATTCAGAATCCTGTAGGTCTCTTGAGAGAGTAAATTCTCTGTAGTTCTAGTCCACATACATGTGCAGACACACATTTTTACACGCTACCTTCTCAAGAGAGCTAGAATGTTTAAAATTATGCAAATATATGTACATGTATATTTATATTTACCAGCCAGACCAAGGGTATAAATTGACATCACAGATACATGTGTGGAAATTTCCTGCATACAGTGCTGTAAATTACTGTACAAAAAGTTCAACCCTGTCACCTTTTGTTTGCCTGTTGCTCTAGGAAGACAAACAATTTCACACAGTATGATCAGTAAAGTGCAACTGTGGACATAATTCATGTCCAAAAAAGAAGTATCTGTCCACTGACTGTAAAATAGTAACTTGTAATAAACAATCCTGTTGCATAGTCGATGCCTCCTCCTTTATGCTGTACCACTTTGCACCCCTTTCAATAGCAGTATTATGTCTCTATCCTTAGTTTTTTCACCCCTTTATTTCACTTTTGATCCTGCGTGAGTGAAGAAAGCCAACCTCATTGCAACACAGATTTTAATTTTTTTTAAAGGTCTTCCAAAGAGTTGTCCTATAAATTTTAATTTGCTGCTCACACATCAGCAGTGTTAGCCAAAGCAGAGATAAACAGCAAAAAGAAGCAAGAAATAATGCTATGAGAAATAATAACTCCTGGGAAATAAAAAATACACAGTGATCAGCACACAGCTGTTTGTATTGAAAAGTCAGGTTCATATCACCCTGTTACTGCTGGCCCAGAGCTTCTTTGATCATGTTTGAAAGAGTTGCATTTGTTTGGGGATGTTTGGAGGGTTGACAAAGGGCAACTTCAGTGAACATTTGCTTTTATGTTTGTATATGCATAAAATTAAAATCCAAATGTTTATGTGTGTGTTACAGTAATGAACATAGCTGATGGATTTGATTCATTATTTGTTGTTCAAACGTTAGCGATACCTTTCATGGACAAGACACAATAATATGAACTTTCCTGTGCACAATATAGTGTCTAAACAGATAGAAGTGCAACAAGTAGGGTATGTCAGAAAATTCCAGAGAAGGAGATTAATATTATTTGGCGTCAGTTTTGAGTCACAATGGATTGAAGTGGTTTGCTGGGTTTTGTGGGGGTTTTTGTTTGTTTTGGTTTGGGCTTTTTTATGGTAGGGAATATGAAAGCTAAGGGTCTTTCAGGAAGAAATATGAATTATGGGTGGGATTTCTGGACTGACATGTGGATGAGAATGAATTTCTACCCTGACAGTATGTCTGTTAAAATACCTAATTTTGCACTACCAGTACACACTGAAATGTTTATATCAAATTTTCTAGAGAATACAGTGAAGGAGTGCGGAGCACTCAGACAATGGGCAAAGCCTGAAAGACTTACACAAAAAAAAAATCAAACTGAACCCATATATTGCAAGATCATATTGTTCTGAGAGAAGAAACAGATCTTGGGAAAGCAATTTCATCAGCATTCATAGCACTAAGCCGTGGCACAGTTCCTGTGAAGCCTGCTCCAGAACTGACGTCATTTGTCCACCATGACATACTAGGCCACTCTAACTGGCACACAAATACTGAGCAGCTGCCTCACACAAATCCAGTTGCATATCTCTAGCAAAAGAAAGACTCTAGTCAGAGATATGAATGGTTATTCACCCATCTGCAAAAAGAAATGCAGTGTGCCAGGCAGCAAACAGCAAGCATCATACATTCACTGATGAGCAAAGTGATAATGGGGAAACCACGGGGAATTGTGTTGATAGGAAATGGGCAAATATTGGGGCTCTGTTCAGCTAAACCCACTGGTTCCAGCAAGGACACTTGACAAAGCTCACTTCCCGTGTACAACTCCAGATGTCCATGAAACTTGGGTTGGTTTTTTTTCCCCCTACATTTCTTTCACACAAGCAAAGAATGGCACTGACACTAACACACTAGAGATGGTCCACTGGAGGGCTGAGAGGAAGGCAACTGAAGTCATAGATCGCTCTCTGCCTCTCCACAGTGCCAGCTGCCCTGGAAAGATTGAAGTTAAGAGTTATGGCGATTGTGTTCCCGGATCTGGCTTTTAGGCTCTGACAGCCAAGATGTGCACGAGTCACTCCAATTCTAGGATTTCTTTTCATTACATTTGGAACCAAAAAGGGCTGTTGTTAAGGAACAGACAGTATAGAAACATCTTTGATCCCTTGCCTAGACTGGGTGAATTAACTAACTGGTGAATGTCTCACACTGTGCAATCATTATTGTTCATCATTGTGACAGGCCGGAAAGAGCAAACATAATAATTAATACACGGCATTGTGATAATGGCATTGTGTCCCAGCTTTAAATTGTTTCAACGAAGCTTCTCTTTTATTTAAGTAACTCCCTGGTAATTCTGTTAAACCTTTCTTTTCTTCAGTCTTGAATCAGCTTTTCAATAGAGACATCTTGTGTCCTCTGGTGAAGTGGGCTTACAGGCAGGGAATGTCTGTGTTTGTATGTGTGTCACTCCCTTTCAAGTACTGATTGTAGAGCATAACTACGACTGATGAATTTTCTTCAAATAGTAGATAAAATTATCCAGCTAGACATTATTCTACAGATGCCACCTGCAGGTTAAATCATTGCTTTATTAATGTAATGTTCAAAGAAATATATTGAGCTACTTTTCATGGAATCACACAATGGTTTGGGTTGGCAGGGACCACAGAGGTCATCTAGTTTCAACCCTCCTGCCAAGGGCAGGGACACCCTCCACTGTACCAGGTTGCTCAAAGCCCCATCCAAACTGGCCTTGAACATTTTCACTTCTTCTGCATTTTCAAAAATGCAGTGTTTTATTCCAGTTAAACAACAGTCACCAGCAAAAATATTTTACCTGTTATGCTTTCTTTTATGAAGATATAGTAGTGCTCATTTTCAATGTGAAAATTGCAATTATCTTGCATTTTTCCCAATATATAGTAACTGATTTAGAAGTATGGAAGGATAAAGTGTGAAGCAACACACTTTATCCTTCAACAACGCACAGTCCCTGGAAAATGGACTGTATGTTAGACCTGCTTTTGAAAATCAGAACAATCAAAAAAGTAATTTATTAAGAAAAATACCTGAAAATGTGATCATTTGCGTTCAAATATGTACACATAAATTTTATCTTTATTTGATATTGCAGTTCATGTGTGATTCAAACAAAAGTACTCAACAGTGAATTTTGTTTGTATGTTTCTTTTGGTGTTCATTCACAGTGCCGAGAATGTGTAATGAATAGAATCCTAAAGATGAAGACACACATATGGAAATTGCACTAAGTGCCTCTGCTAAAACTGAGGGCTCTCCCTTAAAGGCCAGCCTCATTTTAGAGGTAGAGAGGAGGTTGCCACCCTCAGGGATGACTAGACCCCAAGCTATGACACAACTGGCAGTTCCATCTAGGTAAGAGGCAAAATGTCATCTGCCAAACAGTCTGAGGGAGGATTTAGTAAATCATATAGCAGTACCCAACATTTCCAAGCACGTATTCTTTAGTTGGGGATTATGGAAACCAAGTGGGTATTCAGCTGGCTTTGTTTCTCTAGAGCAACTCTGTGATCTGTACTGACCACAGGTAGATGTCAATGCCTGTCAAACTTCTCAAATTTACTGTTCCTTGTGTGGCTTTGAAAACTTTCCTTATCATCTTGTGTTTGCTTTGTATGTGGGGTAGCAATGTGCTTGGTATGAGAGGTTGTCTTGGATCTGCCCCCTGAATGGTGAAAGAGCTAACGGGGGTATGAGTGCGTTCTTCACTGCAAGTCACTGCCCAGAGGGTTTGTGAACCCTCCACCATCACTGGAGACATTCAAAACTAAAATGGACAAGGCCCTTCAGACCTGTCTTTACTTCTGTTGAGAATTGCAATGGAAACCTTGATTGGTGTGAATTGGGATTGAATAGGTGTAGAAGCACCAAAGTAATAAGAATGGC